ATTCATTTTTATCTGCTTCCATTACTATTCTGAAACTGGTATAAGATTGGTGCTATGGTCAAATCTCAGACATACAGGCACCTAATTAAAGGGTTTGGGTTGGTGTCCCCATCAAAAAAGAAAGAAAATAACAAATTTAAAAATAACAAATTAAAAAACATGAAGGTTTTTTTAAGTGATCACTATAACTAAAACATGATTATAAAGCTAAGATATACACACAAATTGCAAGATACAAGCTACAAAATTAAAGACTGCATGACAGTGACTGACAACTGTGCTTGACACGATGCTAGTCCTCATAGACCATAATGTAAACCTGTGAGGAAAGCTCTGAACCAGTAGTATTGTGCCCACTTTAACTCCAGAAATATATAACCACCCCTTTATTTTCCAGAACTTAGTACTAAGTACAGTGCTTTATAAAAAGGGAAGTGCAGTTTTTTAGGGCTTGCATCTGGAAGCCAGTATTTTCTCATTTGATACAATCCCTCTATTTTTTTGATAAATGAACCCAAAAACATCTAAACAGCAGAACCATAACAAAGCACTTGTAAGTTTAAAGTATGACTAATATGACTATTTCCATAGCTAAGAATATGATTGCTTTTTTCTTCATACTCACTACCCAGCATGCTACCACAGTATATGAAACACATGTGCTGTCCAGGGTAATTTACTGGTGGCATAGAGTTGGAATAATTGAGCAAGAGAAAAGTTAGTTTTGGTGATACTTTTTGGATCACATACAAATATTTTGTTTGAACTTGATCCGGCTCATTTTTCAAAGAAAAAGAACATGTAGATTAAACTTTGTAAGTGAATTTGTGCATCTTGGGGTACATCATCATCATGAAGTTAAAAACAAAAAAACCCAATTAAAGCTAACTTCACTCATCTGAAATACTAAATATAGCTAGGTGGCCTGTCAGTGGCATACTGTGTCTATATTTAATCACAGGCACTAGAATCCTAAATTTGATAGCAAAAGTTAAAAATTATGCCAACAGGCCACAAGACTTAGCAAAAGCAAAGCAAAAAACAAAGCAAAGAATAGTTTCAAATAACATAAGCTGCATTTTCTTCTTCAGAATAAGAAAATACACACTATGTGTGATACTTCTGTATTTGAACTAAATAAACTATAGGCATTAGTGAGCTTTATTTAATACCAGGGAGCTTGAAGACAACAACACATAAATGCTGACACTTTATAGATAACTATAGTCTCTCCAAGGCTTTAGCAATCCTGTCAGCGTAATGAGACTGATAAGTACAGCAGCTGTATCAAGGGGTATTTGATTTAGCAGTTCTGTATTGACCATCTTTCCAAGGTATATTTACATTTTAGAGGTTTTCATGAATGCCCTAAATACCTGAATACTGCTTCTCCCTCTAATAAGTATTTATTTCCCTGTACCAATGTTGGGCCTTCTAAAAAATTACTTCAATTCCTATAGAGACGCCAGCATACCTTCAAAAATCAAGCAGCTGTAAACAAATTAACAAAACTACTCAGGCAAAGAAACCAGTACATAAGTCTTTAAACTCTGGGTCCTAGTCACTCTCTATATGGATTTTTTTTTTTTTTTTTAATATGACAGAGCTGGAGCAGAATGCTTTTGCTTCCCCCTTATGGTAAGTTGAAGAGAACTCTAGGAGGAAAGCTTTAAGCTGAAATATTTGGAGTATCCACATGACAGGGAAACACAGATCACTTAGATCTCTTAGAGCTGAATACTGAAGACCTGTTATACTGAAGGATCCTCATGTCACAGAATTTCAGAACTGCTTATCACGCTGCCCTGGCCCCTTCCTCAGTGACCAAAACTAGAACTACCCAGGTATTATAGAGATGTCCAATATTAATATCTACTTATCCAGACTATTTTTCCAGAAAAACTGTTAGAATAGGTTCAAGACTCTCAAATTGTCCCAAAATTAAGAGTTTGTAGTTCTATTCAATATGGTGCCATTCTCAAAACCACAGTATTTTGATACTTAAGCTTTATTGTAAAACTACAATAAAAAGATCTGATTCCTATATTTACTAAAATCTGATTCAGCAACAGCTTTAAGTTATATTGTGGCAGCCTTTTTAAAATTCGAATCCTGACACATCATAGGAAGAAACTTTCCTAGTCTATAGAAATTCAGTTCTAATAATTGACAAGTGCAGCCAAGTAAGTTGTTATTCTTACAACAGACTGGAAGGAAAGATAGTGTTACACTCCCGCTACAATTTTATGCATCTGCAAATTATAGTAAACCAGAGCTGGCTTATTTCAAACTGAGATTGGATTTTGTCCCTATGTTTTCAATATCAGAAGCATTCAAGTTATCACAGCATGAAATAACAGGTTCTTAATACTGCAGTGGATTTTATGCTGTGGAAATTGCTACATGATGCAGTGGTGACATGTTTATATAGAACACTCATAGGAAGGATTACACAAATCATGCATGTCAGCAAAATGGAAAGCATCTGTTTAGGCTGTGGCATGCTGCTAAGGCTCTCTCCACTGCCAGTTTGTGATATGGTACACAGCCCAGTTGGAGTCACAACAGCAAAACGGTGACAGATTTTCATGTCACTGCCTACTGCAGAAGTTGGGCAGCCTTACGATGGTAGCTGCTAGCATAAAAGCAAGATCAGATCACGTGCATTCTGCATGGAGAAGAGGCAATTAATCTGACGTTAAACGTTTCAAGGGACAAGTACTAGAGCCTTATTTTCAGTTTTTATATAGAAACTCATTGAGACTTGATTAATGATCAAGGGATGAAAAAGAATTTCCCCTGAACCACATTAAAAAAAAACACCACAATACACCAAAACCCAGAAAAGTACAGACACTTAAGTACTGAAGCAATATTACATGCAAGATCCATGTCTTTTCAAAATCCACTTACAGTTTTTTGGACTAAACAGCCTCCAAGAATACTTAAAAGCCTACATAATGCTCCAGAGTATTAGCTTTGCTTTTGGACCACCAGTTTAGCTGACACGGAAAAGACTAGCTGTATAAGACTTCACACATCTAGACACATTGTTCTATTTAAGTCAGCATTGACTTGCATCAAAAAAGTTGGCTTCAAATCAGCTGATTCAGATGACATCTTATGAATTAAGTAGTATTACTTTCAACAGAAGTCCACCCACTATTGGTCAAGCCAATCTTTTCTGGGATCATGAAGGGGAATACAAGGAAAAGAGCTTTGCCAACAACAAAAAAAAAAATAAAAGGAAAAGCAAAGCAGGACACAGAATCTACAGGAAGTTTACATATGAACAGATCTTCAACTAAATCTAAAGGGTGTTGACTACTCCTTTAAAACTTAAGCCAAAATCTCAAGTTCCGCAGTCCAAACATAGCTATACCTTCTTGGAGTTTTTTTTTTTTTGAAGTCACTTCACACTAACATTTAGAGATGAATGGAACTGTTATGGAAACCCAATCATAGCAATACTAGATTCTAAGTTTAGTTTTCTATTACTGTAAGAGATTCAGAACACACAGGGTGCTTTAAAAAGGTCTCTAAAACTGTTATAAATAAGTGTATGACTTAGGCCTGAAGGAAGAACAGCTGGAGAATTTAGGATCCTCCCATATTTTAACTCATGGTGATGTCATAATTTAGAGTTCTTGGAAACTATCAATTCAACATTTAAGCACCATCAATAACATTAAATGTACTACACATCTCTATTGGCTTAAGCACCAATTTAACTTTTATTAAGGGGAACACACAGAACTCTTAATTATAAGAAGTCACATGAGCATTCTCAGAACCTCTCAGATTGATTTAAAATATATACTTTTAGAGTTCAAAAGGGTTTCTAAACATACTATCTCCTGTGCACTCTCTGCAAGCTTTATAATACATTGGAAAGAGAGTGCTCTGCCATTAAGTGTTTCACAGTGCAGATTTGAAGGGGCTCCTTTAGGGTTATGAAACAGCATTTCATTTCCATGTTAAAAAAGTTTGGCTTGGGAGGGCCTTCTAAGTTTTGAAGATGGGGTATTTTATAAAATTTTATTATGAAAAGGTAAGATCAGTCAAAGAAGCTTTAAGTTGAAGTATATTTTCAGATTGCTTAATACTTTCATTGTTATGCAAGTGTATTTCATAACCTTATTTGAGGATTCAAAGAACAGTTTTAATACTAACAATGGTCTCAGTCTGACAGCTAATGCTAACCCAAGTGTGCATCATGCCCTCCTTCAACACTCCAATTTATGTAACTCCACACCACTATGGGTCTAAAAATAAACCACATGGGAAAACAAGGTTTAGATGGACAAGAAGAGTAAGGGCACATACTTGTTCTCCTTAATTAGCATCTGCTAGTTGTGGAAACAATACCATCCCAGAAACCAGTTAAGACTTTCTAACCTCTACAGGCAGCCCCCAAAGAAAGCTATTAGGACAAATACACAGGATTCCTGAAAAAGTGTTCTTGGCTTGATTTCTTGAGAAATCTTTTTTGCCTTTCCTCCCAGCCTTCAAAAAGAACAATTTGCCTCCAAGGCAATTCAAACAACATTTTCAGCAGGGGTTTTAAAGATTTTTTCCAGAAATATGCAAGTTTTCTATTGTGACCATCATTAAAACAGCATCTTAAAGCTGCTAATGTGCTGGCAGAAGAGTATGTGAGGAAGACTGAGAAGCCATTCATTAACAGTAACAACCTTTAAGCAGATTCAGAGATTATTGCTTGTAAAGGATTTAATATCGAAAGCTACAGAAATGACCATAGGACTTAGAACTCTGGATCCTAGGAGGATACAGTTGATTTAAAACTATTTGTTAACAATCTTAACACCAGCATTCCTGTTAAACAGAACAGTCAGTTCAAAACCAGAAATAACCAACGCAGTGATTCTACAAGTGAAAAAGAACAAGTGCAAACCTCAAGGAGATAGGAGTTCAGCAACAGCAGTTCATTTCACAAAAATAATTACCAAAAAGGACAGGAGAAAGGAGTTTATAGTTACCCAGAAGTGTGCGTGACAGTTAACCATCATGGTCCTCTCAATAAGCTCATCAGGACACTCCAGAAGATGGTGCCCGGAGACCACACCAGCATTGTTAACCAGGACAGACACCTCGCCAACCTCCTTGCGGACCCTCTCAGCTGTCAAGTAGACATTCTCTCTTTTGCCCACGTCACAGGTGTACGTGTAAACCTGCAAGTTGCAATGGGGCAGCACATCTTTCTCTCCATCTCCAGCTACTAAAGAACACAGATAAGAGAACAGAAGGGGGGGGTGGCAATAAAGTTCTTGCTCACATTTTGACATTCAAACAAGTAGTTCAAGCAGAAATAGCAAATAAAACTCCAAACCACCAGAACTTCTATTTACTTTGGTGTCACTGCGGTACACCAGGAGCCAGCTATTTACTATCGCTACTACGTGTTTTAGGAAAAGCCGCAGGTTTTAAAGCCGCTACTGGAGTCCGAAGCTCCGCGAAGCAGGTTCTGCGCTCACCGCTGCGAGCACAGGGCCGGCTCCGGCTGGCAAAAGCACCGTCGGGGCGTCTGATAGCCCTGCGCCCGG